TGCTACCTCTATAAAACCAAAGACCATTGAATTTAAAGAGGCTATACTTTGTTACTATAGCTGTATGCAGAAGTAAACATTTTCATCATCAAGATGCATTTACTATAAAACACATTTAAACTCTAATATATATATAGAAAAACAGCAAAAACCCTACTATGTCTAAGCAAACATCAATTAGGTAATTTCATATCAAATACTGGTAAATATGCCTAACCGAAGACAAACGCCTCGGCAGCTGTATAGATCTGCTCCTTCTTCATAGGTTTTGCATACTTTTTTGTGCATCCATCAGCTTTCATTGTGGTAAAAACAACAACAGAAAACATCCATCTGTCCTTATTCTGGGAAAACAGAGTAAATATAATGTATTAGAAATCTCAAAATATTAGAAAAAACAAAAAGCTCAAAAAGTTCTTTACCTCTTGTTTCTTCTGATCAGTAAAACATTTCCTCTGGATATCAGCTTGAATATAGAAGATACAGGTAACAATTAATTTAAATGTAAGATTTATGTGGTTCTTTTTCATAGAGAACAATGCAATTTGAATTACCTCTGCAGTGATCACTGTTTTTCTTGATCATCCAAATGAGAGCAACTATAACAATCAGACTTATAGCCAAGACAGTGCACAGTAGAAAAATTGTGCTGCTGGCCGTCTGTGACCACACTCTGGTTTCTGAAACAATATTAAAAGTAAAAACTCAAGTTATGTTGGACAAACACTAAATTGTGTTTAATATCACCTTCAGATTAGATTACTGTTAATGTAAAACCAAAGTGAGTCAATATTTAATATTCAAACTATAGACTGATGTTCTGGACTGGAGAATATTATCATTCATTAATGTGATCACAGGTACCTCGACTGTCCAGTTTTGTTCCATTTCCAAATAATATTTCTCCACATGTGGCCACAGCACAGTAGTAAGTCCCAGAATCAGAGGAGCTGATGTTCTTAGACAAGCGATAAACACAACTCTGCTCAGTCTCAGATCTTTTCTCACATTCATGATGTCTGTTTCCAGCGGTGTATATAATGCCAGGATGAGATGTATTTGCTTCCCTGAACCAGAACACATTGTGACCTCCTGGACATGTCTTTCTGTTAGAGCTGGAGAGGACTAAACACTGAAGAGTCACAGAGTCTCCTGGATGGACTTTCTCCTTAACAAAAGTGTAGTTTGATGTTTTCTGGGTGTTTCCTGATTAATAAAAATGTGTTAACAAAGCACATTGTGAAGGATTCATGTACCGCATCTATAAAATGTGTCTTTAAAATGAATTAGGAGCAAATTAAATGTAAATTAAAATACATTTGTATGAGTATATTAACTGTTTTCTGATCATGCTTTTGACAATTAATAAGCTGTTGTTATAAATTATGCTGTACAATTTTACAGACTGAAGCATGTGGCAAAACTCCATGAAAGAAGCGCACATCATTACCTTTTACTAACAAATACGTCCCGGTCCATTCAGTATTCTTACGCCACTCTGTGAATCCACAGTGATAGATTCCCTCGTCCTCTTGATTTGTCTTCAAAATGGTCAGGTTGGTAAAGTGTTTATTATGATTTACCTTCAATCTGGAGTTATTAAACTCAGGCGCAAACTCAGGTGTTGCAGATTCCCTCATTGTCCAAATTACTTTCAGAGTGTCCCCGGCACGCTGCTTGTACCAGTGGACTTCTTTACGAATGGTCTCAATCACAGGCAGTTGACATGGAATGGTTACAGTTTCCCCAAGTTGAACTGAAGTTACTGGAACAAGTGTATCTAATTTCATAGAAAACACACAGAAATCTAAAACATTAATTCACAATGACACAGGAAAACCACCAAGCAAACAGCATGTATTCAAAACGAAATCAGAAAAAGCACTTACATCCTTGATGGAGAAGAAGGAGCGTAACCCATAACACGATCATCTTGACATGTCTTTTGTTATGGACTTGTAGGTATCTCACTGTTTGTAGGAGGTACTTGGACCTTTTATGTCAAACTGTTACACCGATCTGATTGGCTGATTGGTTATCACAGAATATATAGATCAGAATCAGAGAATGAAGTGAACTTCCTGTCACTTTGTTTCATCCAGGTCTTTGAGGAGTAAAGCGTCTGTTGCTTAGCCATTTCGTCACTCATTTTAAGCATAATACAAGGCATTTTTAAAGTTTTTCCAGCAAGTTCTCCAATGATTAATTTGTCATTTGTTTCTACCTTCTGGCAATAATTCATTTCAGAATTTCTAAATAGACTACTTTAAAATGTTTAAAATGTTTATCTAGGTATGTAAGTGGATTCAAGTCCTATCTGGGGACATCTTAAAGCTTTGCTTTGACTCAGTACATGTTTTTATTTTCGCTTCCTGCCTGGTTAGGTTTAGGCAGTAAAACTAGGTTAGGTTCTGCATCTGAACAGACCATTTTACACCACTAAAATGTTTTAGAAAGCTGTTTCTTATGTTAGCTGAGTTATTGTGCACTACACTATCAAAAAGCAAATGCATTTATTTTTATAGCAGTTATAGGTCCCTTTATCTGGCAGCATGGTGATGTGGTAGTCAGCGCTTTTACCTCACAACAAGAAGGTTCTAGGTTTGACTTGAGACCAAAGCCTTTCTATGTGGAGTTTGCATGTCCTCTCCGATTACACCTTACTTTCATTGTCTTAGTGGAAGTAAACAGATGGACATATCTTCCCCAGCAAACATTTTGTTCCATTTACAACAAAAAAATAAAGCAAAGTGTCAGATATCCAGTGATATGGCCCACAAATAACTACATTTACCAAATGTTAGGGAAACCTTTTTTAGGCAATTTAAAAAAATAGCTGATGGATCAGATTTTTTGTAGGTCAAGCTCTAATAATGTTATGCTTGCTCCATGCAAGGCTGTATAGCTCCAAGTTTTACGTTATAAGTAGCAACTGCTAAGATTGTGAGTGCCAAAACTGATTAAAGGAGCATTTCCAAAGGAAGTGACAGGTGACAATGTAGAGCAGCGACCATAAAAAATCTATAAAATTTGCATTTCAACATTTCAGGTGGCTGCAGCTGAAACATTTGTTGGTTACATGAAGGTAGTGGGTCTAATGTTAATCTCTCGCAAATTCAAGTAGGTGATTACAATGAGATTGAAGAATGCCATTGATTGATATGTGAGAGGGTGGTAAATGATATGTGAGAGGGTTACCTAGCTAATCGTAACTCGGATTGTCCCCTAGTATGTTTTCACAAAAAAAAAAACCAAAACAGCTGTGAAAAAGGTGTGATTTTGCATTCTCTTATTATCTTATATATATATTGGTCAACAAACTCAGTATTGGTTCCATTTCTGTTTGTCTTCTACATACTTCAAAACAATTCTAGGTCATTTTCCCTATAGACGATCCTGCAGTGCTGTATAACTGACAGCCAGGTGGAGGAATGCCGAACATTAGAGGAATATTTTGGGGTGTGCCTTGAGAGAAATCATCTAATTCTACACAGGGATAAAATCAAAGGATTAATGTTCAACTTCAAAGAGAAGAGTACTATTATAAAGCCCTTGTCATCCTGGAACAGGATGCTGATGTCAGGGAGGAGTCCTCACCTGAATGTCCACTTCAACAACGAACTGAACTGGAAGACCAATGGAGAGGGTAAATTAAAAAAAAAAAAAAGGTAATGAGTGGACTGCATTTTATGTAATTGTAGGATTTACTGTATCAAAAACCTAAAACTGGTCTGCCTGAAATACTTTGCGACATTTTTCATTTCTGTCGTTTCTGCTTTTTATTGCACTTGATCAAAATATTAAAATACTCGAAATCTTGTCATTTGATCTTTTTCCTTACAAAGGACAGTTACAAACTCTACATTATCAGAGACAACCCACCCAGTCTGCTTGTCAGTTATTTAAGCGGTAAGATACAGTTGCACCAGTAATGGTTGTGGTCACACTCTCTATCCTCTACGCTTACTTCAGAGCGCCACTCTCACTGTGTCACAAAACACACACCGATCTGGAGGTGTCACATAAACACACTGACCTGAAAGCTTCTTCCTCAACAGAGATATATGTGCCAAAGTGACAGAAAACCCAAAAAGCAAATAAAATGCTGCATTTCAAATTCAAGACTGAAATATTTGTACAGACAGTAGAAAGATTTAGGTAATAAAACAAAAATATTTAAGAATCAATCAAGCAAGGCTTTATTCGCCACGTGCAGGTTCCCCTGCAGTGAAATAGGACCCCCGCCCCCCGACCACACACAACACAGACATCACATGGGGATATGGGGATACAGGTCGGAGATCGGTAGCGTTACAGAAAAAAAACCCACTGAAATATACACTACAATGGGAAAGTACAAGAGGAAAAAAGAGACTTCTACTCATGCTGGGCTCCTGGGAGGACAGCATGAAAGTCATTAAAAATCCATGCTGCACAATCATTTCACCCTGGAAAAAGAACAATTCAAAGAAATAATTAAAGCCAGCACTCCTGGCTAAAAAAAATCTTACATTTTTCAAAATCTGTTGAAAAATGTTGGAATATATTGTTAAAGAAAAGCATAACATTACAACTTTGCACTAGTTTCACTTTACCTGATGTTAATGACATAAATTCAAACATATCAGGTTTTCCAGTTGAACTCGCCTTTTCCAGTCACTTTTTATTTTTAACAGAATGGGAAGACAGTAGGGGAATGATGCGAGCATCCATGTGGTATGCACTTTAACTACTTTGACTTTTCAGTCATGGTGTAATCAGCTTCAGTAATGTCTGTTTTGCACTGATTTCTTAAGTACTGGTTTCAATATAGACTTAAATGAAATGAGAAAAAAGAAATAAAAACTCATCATAAGACTGCACTAGAAATGTTGCAGTATGCATGCGGTCACATTTTTATAGATAGAGGTATAGAACAACAACACATTATAGCTCATTCGCTTTAAGCAAATATCCACAATGTTATATGACATAAAGGGATGATGGGGTGGTAAACAGATCTAATCCAGTCCAAAAGCCTTGACAGCCATGTAGATCTGCTGCCGCTTCACTGCATCCTGTCTTTTGTATTTGTCAGCCTTCATCATCGTAAACACAACAGCAGAAAACATCAATGTGTCCTTTTTCTGGGAAAATACAATACAAAAATATTATAAACATTAAAACTTGAAAATCTAACACACTCTACCATTAGGTACTTTACCTGTTGGCTTTTCAAATCACCAAAGTTTTTCTCCAGGACAGCATCTTGAATATAGGACATATAAGTAATTAATGCAAATGTAAGATTCATAACATCTAGAACTCTGAATAACTCCAACTACCTTTGCAATAATCACTGTTGGTTTTCTTGATTGTGTAAGCGAGGACAGCAATAACAATCAGAACCAGTACAGGACACAGCAGAAAAATAACTGTTGTGGCACTCTGTGACCACACGCTGCACCCTGGGACAATATTAAAAATAAATATATGACAAAATTAAAGTTACACAATCACTTATTTTTCTGATTTTCTAAACAATAGACAGAAAGAGAAGCTGATAGAGAAACTGGTACCTTGAATGTCCAGTTTAGTTCCTTTTCCATACAATATCTCCCCACATGTGGCCACAGCACAGTAGTAAGTCCCAGCATCAGAGGAGCTGATGTTCTTAGAGAAGCGATACGCACAGCTCTTTTCAGTCTCTGATCTTTTCTCACATTCATGATGTCCGTTTCCATTAGTATAGATAATACTAGGATGAGATCTATGTGATCCTTCTTTGAACCAGAATACCTCAAGACCCCCTGGACATGTCTTATTAACTGAGCTGGAGAGAACTGAACATTGGAGAGTCACTGAGTCTCCTAGACGGGTGGTCTTCTCCTGAACAACGGTATAGTTTGATATCCTCTGGGTGTTTCCTTTGGAATATGAAACCGCATTAACAAATGATACTACAAAGAAAATTTGTATATATATATTTCAAATATAACTTTAGCTGTAACATTCAGTCTAACGATTACAATGAATATATTTAGATGCATTTGGATTTATACAGAAATTTGAGAAATATAGATGATGTCCAACTGGGAAAGAAAAATCGTACTTAGAGATAACATTTCTTAACATTTATAAAGTGCATTTATAACATCTTAAAATTGCATGAAAGGAAATCACATTATTACCTTTTACTAACAAATATGTCCCCGTCCATGTAGTATCTTGGAGCCACTCTGTGAACCCACAGTGATAGATTCCCTCATCCTCTTGATTTGTTCTCAAAATCGTCAGGTTGCTAACATTTTTATCATAATCAGCCTCCCATCTTGAGTTATCAAATTCAGGTGCAAACCTAGGTGTTGCAGATTCCTTTAGTGTCCATATTATTTTCAGAGTGTCTCCAAGACTCTGCTTATACCAGTGGATGTCTCTGCGGCCAGTCTCAGTCTTGGGTAGAACACATGTGAAGGTTACAGGTCCCCCGAGGTGAGCTGTAGTTACTGGAACGAGTGCAGCTAAATAGAAAACGAAAATCTAAAAGTCAGACAAAGCAATGCAGGAAACAGCTTACATGTGTGGGAAAAAATTGTATAAACACTTACATCCTCGATTAACAAAGAGCAGTGCAATCCATAATAAGATCATCTTGTAAAGGCCTTGTGTTATGGACTTAGGTGCTTGACTGAATGTGGGAGGCATTGAAACATGGGCCCTTTATGTCACCCTTCAAATAGATCTGATTGGTTATCTCTGAATACAGATTCAAGAGCTCTCCCTCTTACATTGGTTGCATCCACGTATTTGAAGAGCAAATTAAATGTTTCTCATTCAGTCACTCATTTAAATTATAATCTAATTCATTTTCTATTGAATGTTGTGTTTCATCATTGTTCCATTTCTGCTTGGTTAGCTTTAGCCAGTAAAACCAAGTTAGATGCTGGATTTAAACAGAGCATTTTAAACTTAAAACCCCTCAGAAAGTTCTGTTTTTTATGTTACCTGAGTTACTGTGCGCTGAAGACACAAGCAAAGATTTTATATGCATTTATTCATACAGATGTCAGAGGTTGCTTACTTTACAATTGGTCAGTCACATATTGCACAAATTATTCTTTTTGTGAAGTCCCACAGCTAGACTGTATTCTTTGTAATTCTGTGAAAATATGAAAACAAATGCATAGATCTTTTTTTATTAATCATATTAGATCACATAACTCCATCTTACTAATCAGTCTAAAGTCTTCAGATGTTGGGTACTTTGGTGATTAGTACTTCTGCCTGACATGAAATAGGTTTTGGGTTTCAAATATAGGTTGGGGCCTATATCTGCATGCCCTCTCTGGATACTCTTGCTTCATCCTCCAATCCAAAGACATGAATGGTGTTAGGTTAATTGGTCATTCTAAATTCAGTAACACGTGTCAGTGTGATAATGAGTGGTTGTCTCCCTGTCACCCATGTAAAAGGCTGTGTCCCAATTAAGAGACTGCACGCTTTAAGTACGCATTTTAAGTGCGGTTACGTCACCACCACGCGACGACGGCTGTCCCAATTCGAAGTGTACTTCAAATGCATACTCCAAATGCGCCGTCGATTTCCCCAAATTTCAAGCGTGGTCCGGTGCACGCTTCGTGGTCCCATATATCCCACAATTCATAGCGCGGCGGTGGGTGTGGATAATTTTGCCGCAAAATACGGCAGAAGGGAGCGGCCGAAGAGGTTGTTTTTTTTTCTTTCAAAACTTTATTGAAATTATAAAGCGAACAGTCAGTCATTCCAGTTCAATTTGTAGAGTAGACATACAAGGCAAATAAGAGTAACAATATACAGTACAATGAAATAAGAAGGATAAATAAATAAAGGATAAAAAAGAAAAAAAGAAAAAAAAGGGGGGGGGGAATGTGACAGACTTTATAACAACTTTGTACTTGAAAGTTGTGACAGCTCATTCGTTACACATTTCTGAATGAATTTCAATCGAGGATAAACCTTTTATATTGGAAGTTAATTTAAGAGAGTTCGAGTAATATTCAATTTCAATCAAAAACAAATTAAATGATGGGGTTAAGTCTTGAAATTGACATGTATGTATATGGAATTTCCCTAATAAGATGGAGCGGCCGAAGAGTGAACTGTCAAAAGTACTGAATATGACGTCACTTATTTATGTGCGAATGTTTAATTATTAAAGTCAGTCATATATCCACAAACACAACAAGCTGAAAGTCAGTGATATGTGTGTATATATATATATCATAATAATCTGACAATAATATAATATTGGCCATATTATATTTACATTACCACAGTGAGATTGCTTTAGTCTCGTGAACAACATTAACTAATTGTTATTTACTAACTAATCTTAAATGACTGTTCAGCACAGAAATGAAGCCCAACAATCATGTTTTACAGTCCTGTGGTCTCAGCCTCAGATACTCAACTAATCAAAGTGATGTCATGACAAAAATGAATGACTTACAAAACATTTTTCTCCTTCATTTCTGTCAAACAAAGCTGTATGTAACGTGTCTCACGGTTAGTAACATGGTTGCTAGCCAACCTGAACAGCGCGACGAAGCGTATACCGTCCCATTTCACAAGCCTCTCACTTCCGCACTTCTCGTACTTATAGTACGCACCGTACGTAGTACGCGTAGTGCGCGTACTTCAAGCGTGCAGACCCTGAATTGGGACACAGCTAAAAACTGGCAACCTCTCCAGGGTTTACTCCACCACTTGCCCTGTGACAGCCAGCCTCCTGTCACCCTGAAGTAACTAAGTGGAAGAAAACGGATTGATGGATCTTAAAAAGGCTAATTTCATAATCTTGTTTATTTGTAGCAAAATCAAACAGGGTATTTATGGCATGGCTACCATAATCACCATACAGTGATATGGTGGCCAATATAGCCAACATGTTCAAGTTGAGCCTTCACCGCAGTAAAAGCACAAACCAACAGGTGGCATGACAGTGGATATAGCCATCTTGTCAAGTGTGGTGGTGTGGATACAGGACACAAACGCAGGGCTCTCTCTGCAGAATTAGGGATTTTATTTACAGTGAAACAACACTGACGAAAAGTGCAACAGTCCTCTATGTGTGAGTTCCTTTTCCCCTTTCGTGCTCACTCTCCGTTCCCCTGCTGTGACGTCTACTGTGTCCATGGTGAGTGGTGTTTATGTACAAAAGTGCTCAACTCCCTCCACTTGTGTCTGCAAACTAAACAAGCAAACGATGAGTACCTGCCAACTCCACTCTGAAACTCTGTCATACACTTGTTGATGACTCTCAACGATCCAGCTTCGACTGAAGCTCAGCTCAGCTGTTAAATAACTCTTCACATGGGGTTGATCGGCAACAGCTAAGTGTCAGTAACTTTCAAGTGTGGCTGGCTTGGCAGTGGGAAACTCCCTGAACCTGACGTCTCCATAAAACCGCCGTACCTCCCCTCCCCCCCCACACACACACACCAGCTCGCACACGGGAAACGAGGGACGGGGACATGGCTGCGGCAGGTCACTCAGCGAGGACTGCAGCCATGACACATCTTACAGATGCTGTAATTTGTAAAGACTAATACCGATAACTCAGACAATATGTTTAAACTGCATTGTCATATTATCTTAGTAAATAGTTAACACATAAATGTTAGGAAAATCTGTTTCTCTAGTCTACAAAAATAATCAGATTTTTAAACCACCCAACAGCAATATGTGTATAATAACGATGAGACAGAAAATAATCCTAACCCGATTTTTAGTAGGGGATCCTCTCCGTTATTCTATTGAGCACATTCCAATTATAAGCAGCAACTACTAAGATTTAGGTTACCAAAGGCAATTAAAGAAGCACATGGGATGACACGACAACGAGCAGAGGAAAACACAGGCTTAAATACACAGAGGAGTAACAAGGGAAGGAGAAACACATGGGGAACACAGCTGGGAGAAATCAAACACAATGAGATGCGGAGGAAGCAAAACTGAATAAACGAACATAAGATATGAGACTACAAAAGGTAAACAGGAAACATGAGACTGGCCCAGAGACATGGACTTGACACTGAGACAAGAAGACATGACAGGGGAGACAGAGATTACAGAGAAGTACAGAACACAGAGATTTTACAGTATAACAAGCTTAATCTCCCCTGCCTGAATGCTTTACAATTTTTGCTGTTTTATAATGCACTTGACCACGATATTAAGATTACATTTTCAACTTTACTGTCACTTGAACGTTGTCATTGTGCAAAGAGCAGTGATGACAAACCCAGCCTGCTTGTCCGTTACTTAAGCAGGAAGAGATGCACTAGTATACAGAGCTGAGGAGGTGGTTGTGGTTACACTCTCCATCCTCTACTCTCACTTCAGAGCACCACTCTCACAGTGCAACATAAACAAACTGACCTGGAAGCTTCTGGTGTAATTGAAACATATGTACCAATGTATGTAGTGATAGAGCAATGTGATGTGAATCATAGGAGAACGTGAATAAACGAGCTGAGACTTCAATCTGTATATCTGTACACACAGTGGAAGATTTAGGTAAATTTACAAAGACAGAAGAAAGAAAATGTTCAATCATTTGAATGACGAAAGAAAAAGAGAAAATATTTAAAGAGCTAGTCTAACTACACTTGCTGCTTGACAATAAGACAGTTCAATCAAGTAATAACCTGCAATTTCCTGAGACAGTCCTGTGTCCAGCCTATGCTTACAAATGTAGAGACAGCTGCAAACAAGAAATGTAACAACTGAAAATATACTTTAAATAATATAAATAAAGACTGAATAAAGGCTCAGACTCTTATGTCTATCATCTCCCATGTTGTAATAAGTATTTTGTTTCTGTGCACAAAACTATTTGTACACGACGGATGCAAAGATGAAGATAAACAGAGTTGATGCACAGAAGCAGCATTGCTGTGTTTGGACTTTTCTTCCTGTTTTCTTTTTGGTTTCAAAGAGCTGGTCTAGTAGCACTTTATGTATTTTTAAAAGAAAAGTGGAACGGCACTATAATAGTAACTACGCTTAGCTTTTACATCAATACAAGGAGCTGTTAGAGCATGTTTGAGGAAGGCACACACAGAGACCTGCTTAGTCATGCTGCAGTTCTTGATCACAGTCTGTGTCTGCAGATATACAACAGTTACAGTTTTTGTGGTTGATTTTATTTTTTAAAAGACACTTTAAAAAAAATAAGCACATTAACGTAGCTGAAATGATCAGTTCTATTTGTTTTTTATAACTAGTCTGTTTAAGTGCCTTAAGGCTCGTCTCGCATTTTATCTAGGGAGAAAGCTCACAGTGATATCTGTTGTGAGTGAACAGATTCAGTGTTTGTTCAAGAGGCAGAGAAATTGGCCATTACAACGTTTGTCTGTCAGTGTATCTGATGAATGTGGCTTTGCTTGCTCTTTTCTTTTGACATGCAAAGGGGCATTCACTACAAGCATAAGACATAAAAAGATATAATAGAAAGACACTTATAGCTCAGATTCTAGTGTTTTTTGCTTGTTTATTTGCTTGTTTTCTTTTCTAAGCAGCAAAAAATTTAACACCGTCTCAGCGACAATTCACACCAGTATCAGTGCTCTATCAAACAGACCTACCTTTGTGGTTTTGGCTACATTTTTTATTGTGCTG